ATAAAGAACACTGTAAACAATCAGCTTCTTAAGCATTAAGTTGTGTAGCTTACCCTGTTTGTTGAGAGTCAGTGACTGTCTTCTGCATGTCTATCCATTTAGTAGTCCTCCTTGTTAACTTTCTTCCCTAGGGATCCACAAGAAAAGGCAAATCAATACATTGGAAAATATTTACAAGTGTTTTAAGTTTTCAATTACCTGATTAGTATATCACACCAAGGCTTCCCAATACTTAAGTTTTTCACCTTATTTAAATTTTTCCAGATGCTGAATTTTGGGATTTACTCATCTGTAAGCCATGTTTCTTACAATTGCAATAAATTAAGGCAATTTTACTCTATAAATCCAAATAGTATTAGCTTTACATGTTCAACTTTATTGCAGTTTAAATGGACCTAAAACAGACTAGAAGGTATCTGCTAATTGGTAATGCATTATGTTCAGAATTTTCAAAATAATTTCAACAATACATAATAATATTACATCAGGCTTTAATGTTAACTTGTATTGTACTGCTTCTTTAAGTACTTCAGTCAAGACATTGGACAGTAAAAGGCACTTATTTCCTTGACAGTATTGGTGTTTCATGTCCTGGTTATTTATTTACCTTATAGAAAGTATTTACAGTATGAAATCACCAGACTTACAAAGCCTCCCTGTGGATAAAAACCTGTCCACTGGGATCGATGAATAAAAATGGATTCACTTATCAATTTTAGTGGTTTTTGCATTGTCCTCTCCAGGTATATTAGCTCATCATCTGCTAGGCTTCAGCTGACATCAGCAGGCCTTGTACAAATTATGTATTCCATCCTTGGTTGGACAGGTCACTGAGAACATAATGGGAACTCAGGCTAGACAAAAACCCTTTTCAAACAACCCTAACAAAGCTAGTTCAGCATGAAATCTAAGATTAGCTTTTGTTTTAAAATAAAATCTAATAAACATCTAATAAACACCTGTTCAGTTAGCGTCATTCAAATGTTTGATTATGGTGATTTCCCTTATAGAACGTCATGCAGGTAGCCTATGCGCCCTAAGCCCATCCAAAGACTATTGCAGATTTGCTGTTGTGTCCAATTTCTTCTATTTTGTAATAGGTATGGAAGTTGGTGGTTGAATATTAAGTAGAGAAGAGTTTTCACTTACTGCACAGTTGGCTTCATATCCTGGAACTGCTCTTGAGTTCACTGAGCTCCTGGGAGCAATCCATTCTTTGAAGAATGTTTGTAGAAGCAGTCTGTATGCCTAGATGTTTGAATGTTTGCACACGTGGTGAAAAACTTTGGAACACCTCGGTCAAGTGATCTGCAGAGGTGGCCAAGACTTGAATTTTTGTCAACATTAAATATTAAGAACATTTTCACAAAAATGAGTATGAAGTTAATATTCAGGTCAAATAGGAACTCAGCAACCACATAAAAAACAACAACTGTGTTCTACTATGCTGAATAAAAGAGAATTAATCATATGAATTCTACCTTTTTGTTTCTCTGATGTTGCTTCTTTATTCTTATCATGTTACCTTTTGTTATTCAAAGAAGACAAACATTTAAAAATGTTTGATACGGTACAGGTTAGTGAAGTGTATGCTATAGGGGTTGCATGTATTCTTTTTAAACTCACCGCAGGAAACCTACAAAATACCACAGACACAAATGATGACTCTGAACTTATTTTAATCCAAACCTAGAGACAACTTCCTTCCTGGCAGCCACATAGTCAGTGCTGGCAGTTAAAGACTGGCCACCAGCACCAAAACCACAGTGTCTGTTTTCTGTAGCATAACATATGAACTTGTTTAGCTTATAGATTATTTTATATGCACAACTCTGTCAAGCATGTTGTTCTTGTTTGTAAGAATGCATGAATGTCTCAACCCCGGTCATGAAGGAGATGTGGCAATGTGTACAAGAATGAGGAAGGTCTTATTAGAGTGAATACATAAGATGAGCAGCTTGAATTATAGTGGTAGTACAAATAATTGACCCAGGCAAGCTGAATTCATTAGGTTTTTGATTTTACACTTTCCTTTTTCAATCTTAAGCTCCACTTTGTGTTGAATTATCACACAAGAACCTAGTAAAGTACATTATCATTCATGGTGTATCATTAAGAAATTCAAATATGTGAATACTCCTCTGAGTCACTCCAGGTGTTATTTAAAGAGAGAATGGAATTTGGATTTCTTTTTTTTTACTTGAGCAGTTACAGTACAGATATATATTCTACATTCTGGTTGGTTATTATTTAAAGTTGTTTTGGATACTCCTGTTGCAATCAGTTTAAAACAGGAAATGAAGTCAAACGTGTTTTCTCTGACACTAAACTTATACTAATATGTGCTTAACACACCCTCACACACAATCTCACTGCTGCATAAACAAGTTTCCATAATGTCTGTGTACTGGTTCTGGTTGCTTATATAAATAGAAACATGTGATAAGAGTCTTTTAGATAAGAAAGGATGAGAGATTTCTGATTCTTTAGCTTTGCAAAAAAAGAAAACAAATCGGTAGACCAAAAGAACAAAATTAAAGGTGATTATTGAAGAGGAGATGTTTTATGGGGTGCAAGGTGGTGCAGTGGCTGGCACTGTTGCTTTGAAGCAAAAAGGTTGCAGGTTCAATTCCTGGCCCAGGGTCTTTCTGTTTGGAGTTTGTTTGTTCTCCCCTACCCTCACCTTAGGTAAATTTATTCAAGTGTTTGTATGCATAGAATAAAATGTCTAGTCTCAAAGCTGCAAATGTATCCATCTATATAAATTAAGATAGGGATGTGTCTCCCTCCACCCGCTTACATTTTTATCCTTTGTACAGACATGTGCAGGAGTGCCCATGAAAACGAGAACATTTTAAAATTTGCAGACAATGCCATTATCAGTTATTATCAATAATTAATCCACTATTTTATTGGGTGATATAATCCCTCCTCCTTGGTGCTAAACACATCCACAGCAACGTACATGGTTACTGATTATAGAACTCATTCACTTATGATCACACAGTTCCAATGCATTGAAAAAAAGGACAGCGCCAAATTTATTGGCACTACAATTGATGACAAACTGACTTTCATCAAGAACTGTGAAGCAGTAGGTAAGTGGGGACATCAGAAGCTGTTCCATCTTTGGAAACTGTTCTTAACATTGATAGGTATACAGTATGTTAAACCTTTTCTATCATGCCTTCATTGAGTTGCTATTATCATATTCGTTGGTTTCTTGCTTTGGTTATCAGTCACTGCAGGAGAAAAACTCCTTAATCCAAATCATCAAATGAGCTGAGAAGTTAATTTGGAGCTTCAACTCTCCTTGTCTTCTCTTTAAGGGACACAGTTTCAGCATAAAGCTAACTGTATCCTCAATGAAGACTCACATCCTGTGAAGAGTGATATCCAGCTCCTTCATTCTGGCTGTAGTTTTCAGGCCCCTAAAGGAAGGACAACAGTTTACAGAAAGAGTTTCGTGTGAGCCGTGATTGTGATGCTGAACAGTAAGACCAAGAGGTGAACAATATTGTTCATACTGATTAGCCACACATTTTTAAGGACTGTACATTTCAGAATGTCTCTTTTGTTGTTATCTTGTTTGTCTTGTTGTATCTTAATTAAAGTGTCTTTTGGGATTTTGGGATGGCAGAATTCTTCTTCCTCGCTCAACAAATGTACCAGTATTACAGTACAGGTCATAGTCAATCAAAAAAAAAGAAAAGAAAAACATAAAACAAACCACTGGACTTTGTTTTCCAAGTTTGAAGATGTTTTGCTTCCCTTCCAGAAAGCTTTCTCAATTCAAAATGTCTGGTGTAGTGTTGAGTTCCAGGCTTATAAAGTTGCCGAAACAAAGTCCTTGTTATGGCTTAGAAAACATTTAAGGACCTTTGAAATTAGGGTCTTGGTTATGGCCATACAAGCCGGTCATAGTGTTTCAGATCCTACTAGTCTAATGCAATTTTGAACGCAACCATTTCCCAGGGTGTACAGATTGGCATGAATGAGATAAATATTCACTGATTATGAATTGTTTCTCACCAAAGTCCCTTGTCTATATAAAGAACAAACAGACAGATAGTGAAACAGTGTTGATCGTTTATTTGTCCAACTGTTACAGGCTACCTTGGTATTTTTCATGATCATATCCAACCCATTAGGAACAGTGTATCCATCTGTTTGTGGTTAATTCCAGCAGGATAGTGCAGCAAGTCACTAATATCAAAACATTCTCCTTTACTCACATAGTGTGTTCCAAAGTCACTGGGACATCATCCACTCAGTCTCGATCTTGTGATGGACGCTAAATTTACAATGTGGACCTGCGGCTGCATGACAACATGATGTCATTGTGGATCAAAATTTCTGTGTAATGCTTGCAATATTTTGTTAAATTCAGAAGAAAAAAAAAATAGAAGCAGTTTTGAGGGCAGAGGGTGCCCAAATCAATACCATTAAGATTAGCATAAGTAAAGAGGCCAACTAGTGTAAGTCTGTGTTTGAGATAGAAGTTTGCTTTGATTTATTTCAATGAGAAATTGGATAATTCTACAGCCCCATGACTTGCTGCAATAGATAGTGCTGCACAATTTTCAAATCTGTTGCAAAAAGTGACAATTACAGCATGTTGTTTGAATTTATTTGTCTTCTTTTCAATACTTCTTGAATTATACCAAATTAAACTAATATGCAAGAGGTCCTTTGTGTTCAGCTTGATAAGAATGTCCCAATTACAGTAAGTCTCTTTATACTTCAACTATATGAACTCACTTTGAACATCAATGTATTGATACATTTTGATTCAATATAAGAAAACAGGCCTGTTTATATTTGCAATCAGATAAAAATCCATTAATTGTAATCTAAAGGGAATAATTGGAACATGCTAAAACCAGGAAGTTTTTTTTTTTTTTTTTACTCAGCCATTGGGTGTTAACGCTACACTTGCGTGTTTTCTGGTTTTAAAAAACACGTTTGCCTTCTCTCTTCCTCATTTCAGTACAGGAAGTACGTTTGCAGTGTGATGCAGGGCTGTCACCGCACTCTACATGTTTTTCTGGTAAAGTCTCGCTAACATGAAACAACCCTGCTGCCACCCTGACCCTGTTTGGACAATAACCCTTATTGGCACATTTGAAACACCTGTAATGAACTGCTAATTCTATGGGTAAGGATTTTACTTTTCAGATCTTTCTCTTAGTTTTGTAATAGTCAGAGCAGTTACTTTTTTGTGCAAGATAAAGGAAAACTATGTAGGCCTACATATGTAATGTAATTTAATCATTATGTGAAATAGATACAAGTTGAATTTGAGTTTGAAAGGTTGCGTTTTGTAAAATGTTACTTCATGCAACCGCTATCAGTTTACTCTACACCATACTGGATGCTTCAATGGAAAATTCTGCCCGATAGCATCTAGCCTCAGCTTCCCCATTCTAAACCGAGCGTTTCGGATGCGATAGCATTATGGTCAACTCACAGTTACATGCAGAATACAGCAAGCAAAACAACAGAGAGACTTTAAGCAGCTGGAAAAAGGAAAATTGTTACATGTTTGTCTGTCCACCTCAGGTTGGATGCTGGTCCCCTGGAGGATGGGGAACATGATGCGAGGCGGAACTGCCAGCAGCAAAGTGAACACTGAAAACCAGGACAGTGCTCTAAAGGGTAGGCTTAATGCTAAATACTTCAAAACACCGTAGGGTTGAGGTCACTTTATTTAAAAGAACAAAAAGAGGCATGTTTGCACGGAATTAAAATGGAATGAAACAAAATCCTTGTCTGTGCATTATAGAAATTGGATTGTTTTATCAGAAACTAAATTGTGAAAACAAAACTCGAGCTGACTTTCTATATATAGAATCGTCATCTGTATGAAACTAAAGTACATGCTATTTACTAAAAAATAAAGTAAATTTTTTTATGTTTGAAATAATTAAACATACGATCAATGCAAAGATGCAACAAAAATATATTCCTCCCATTTAACCTGTATACACATTTGACATTTTTCCTTATGTTAAGCTGTTCTTAACTATTTTTATAAGTTAAAAGTAGTAGTACATAAGTTTATGTATTTAAATAAGAAATATAAATAACATCTCTCTTTTCTTTAATTTAGCAAAAAATGCCACCAGCCACTGCTAAAAAATATTTTGCACCACCTTATTGATTAGTTAGCTAGCTCTGAACAAGATAAAAACACATTTTCATAACATTTTCATAAAAATGGTAATTGGTAAGAGGTAATTTAAAGACTTTTCCTATAAGGCCTGTTTAAATACAGCAATCTGTATGTTAACTGCTGTAAATATGCTCCCATTCTGCCAGGTTCCGATGATGACATAGTAGTGGTGATCGACGACTACCCCTCGTTGGAAATAAGCGAGCCCATCTACAGAATGGGGGAGAAGCTAAGAGTCATTGCACAGTATGATTTCTGTTTCATTTATTTCAAGTCATCAAAACATTAACAAAGTTATGGGGAAACAATTGCAAAAAAAGAACCACTTTATGGTGTAACATCTCATTCTAGAGAAGTGCTCACCAGAAAGGGCAGCTGTTAATTCCTCTTTTTCTTTTCGCTGTGGACAGGGAAGCTTATTGGTGGAAAGTTCGCTCTGTTGAGACAGGGAAGGAAAACTATATACCCAACAGCCATGTGGTGAGGGTTTATCACGGGTGAGTAGAACTAGATGTTCCTTCTCAACATGGGAGACACAGCCAACAGCAGAATAAATACTAGCTCTTCCTATTTTATCATGAAACTTCCTCCATATATATCATGTTTGTCTTGTTGCCAGGTGGCTGTTTGAGGGGGTGGGGAGGCAGAAAGCTGAAGAGCTGCTTCTTTTACCTGGGAACAGAGTGGGCTCATTTCTGGTGCGGGAAAGCACCACGGAGAGAGGTAGGAGCATGCAGAGCTATGTACCCAACACACGCTCACCTCCTAGGGTTAGGGTGACTTCAGTACCTGCTGCTTATCTGTATGTCCATTCATTAGGGAGGCGGTGGCCTTCTGCAGCAGGCGCCTAGTGTAGGTTTTGTGTGTATGTTTGGTCATGTATTTGTGACCTTGTGGGGACAATTTCTCTGGGATATAGTTATTTGTGGGGGATTTATAAGTACAAGTGGGGACCAACAACTGTTCCTTATGAAGAGTGGAGCTGTTCTTTGGTTAGGTTTTAGGTTAAGGACTAAGGTGTGAATTGAATTGAGTTAAGCTTAAGTTCAGGGTTATAAATGTAATGATTATGGCTGTATAGGGTAAGGATAAGGGTCTGAATTTGGAATTATAAATATATATCATTAAACACAAATCTGTTGCATATCAGCCAGCTTTAACATGTCCCCCACCTTTTCATATACATATGTTACACCCACACCTACAAACCAAAAAGCATGCATGTCAATTTATATAAAATCTGTAAAAATGCATCTAATAAGTAAAATGAAAGAGGGAAATAAAATCATGAAATATATTTGAATAATGAAGAATGTTTGCCAAGATAAAGTTATTTTATTGCAGTAAAATTGTAAACATTTAAAAAAATTAACAAATCATTTCAAATTGAAGAAAAGTGTTCTGTTTTTTTTTTTATTTGTAATTGGCAAGATTTTTCTCATCTAAGAGTTGCAAACAAAGTGTGCGGTCCTTTTCTGATTAATCCTCAAAATGAGTAGAGCAACTGCAGTGAGATTCAAATGTATTATTTAGATATATGGATAAAAAGATAACTGTAATAGCATTCCATTATTTAGCATGGGCATAGATGTTTTAAAGGTGAAAAAATCCCTCTAACAAATCATCATTTTTATGTTGAGTACGGACGTGTGTTACATTTAATAAATAAAAGGGGAATTAAACAAATAGTTTATTTTTTAACTGAGTTTTTGATTAAAGATTATAAGCAGTTTGTATATTTCCTGTTGATGTCTTTATTCAGTATGGATCCTGACCAGTTAATTCAAAAGGGCGAGTATAACAACAAACTTTTAAGTGATGAAAGTGGACTTCTGCGTATATTTCTACTTATAATGACTTCAATCTGAAAAAAATCATAGAGAACAAGATAATATGCGATTATGTGAATGGCAATCTTTACATTTTCTGTTTGGTCATTTCCCAGACTACCAACACTAGAAGCGTTCTGTTTTTATAACATTTCACACATGAAGACTGGTGGCAGACCGTCGCCTACTTCTGGTGAACATGCAAATGATCACCGGCTTTTATTTAAGATTTCCCCAGTATTCATTTTGTACCACTTTTTTTTTTTTAGATATTTGAGCTGTGTAAGAATTGTTGGGGTATGCTTTGGGCTTGATTCAGCCTTCTGGACTAATTAATCTTGGTTCTGGAGGCTGAAATCAAAACCAACAAATATCATGATTTAAATGAAGACACCTTAAGAGTTATTAACTGATGATAAAATAGTAGCTAGAGCTACAACCATACATCGGTTAACTGATTTTTGGGTCAATACGTGCATTTATTGGTTGATTGAAAAGTGCATTCAGCAGCCATGCCTTCAGATTGTGTGAGGCAAATGCGTTCGCTGCGCCCTCCATTTATTATTTATTGTTAATGTTTTGTGAAGTTTTTTAATAAACGTTTTATTTTGTTCAGATTTACACTTGTGTAACATTTGTTATCGTTATGCCTTTTTTATCATGTAAATGGAGGAACAGAGAGCAGAATCAGACTGAAAAAACAGCCCAAAAATATCAGCAGCACATATTCGGGGATCAGTTAGATTGATTAGTATTATTAATTAGTATCAGCATAAAAACCTTCATTGGTTGATCTCTAAAATCAACGGCTCACAATCTCGAAATAGAACATCCCTTCTTGAACTATTCCTTTATGTCCTTACTGAGCAGTCAAACAGGTGATTTGAACAGGTGAATTGTTAAATAATTTACATTAACATACAAGTTCATATCTTGCTGTTTAAACATTTTTATATTTTCCATATTTATGATTATCTCCAAAGTAATATTGCACAATGTCCTCAGGTCTGTATTCGCTCTCAGTGAAGCACAGGGCAGTGAAGCACTATCGGATCTTCAGACTGGACAACAGCTGGTACTACATATCCCCGAAGCTCACTTTTCAATGCCTTGAAGACATGATCAGCCATTATTCTGGTGAGTAGATGATGTAGAAACTCATGTATTTAAATAGAGTTACTGAAAATAATATGTATCTTCTATAAATAGAAACATATCTTATCATTTAGAACATTATATATACTTCCTGAAACATTTTTGGAACAAACCGGAAATTAGATAATGAATCGGTGATAGATAATAACAAGCCATGCACAACCTGCTTAATGAAACGCTGATAGCTGATGCAGAGCTATCTCATAGGTGGCAGGAATCTCCATTCTCTCAGTTTGGTTTAAGTGGTTTTTGCTTGAGCAATGAAGGGCATAAAAGCATAATGCAAATCTTAAAAACTAAAATTAGTTTGTTTTTAAAATGCAGCATTTAATTTCCACTCTCCCTTCCTCTTTAGATTCTTCAGATGGGCTATGCTGCACGCTAACCACCCCTTGTCTGTCTGGAAAAACCGAAACCTTGGACATGAACCCTGGACCGCCAACGGTGGTCATGCGACACAACTTTGATTGGACAAAAGTAGAGAGGTAAAGAAGAGACATCAAAATCACACTAAGCTAACTCATTCATGAGAGGATGAGCAAATGAAAATGAAAGTTTGTGATGTGTAAATTAGATGAGGTACATAAAGAAATGCCAAAACCAAACCTCTGTTAAATAACCTTTAAAAAAACAACAATCTTCTAACAAATTATTTCCCGCAATAGGAAGGACTTTAGATGCAAAGTGAAGAACAGTTTGTGAAACTGAAGTCAGACTAGCATAAATAACCACAAAATGCAAATATAGAATGCAAAAAATTCAACCTTACAGAAATAAACATATATGCAAAACAAAAAAAGGAAGTGTGTATTAAATAATACATAAATTGAAATTTAAATATAGCTCAAAAAAGAAAAAAGACACCAAACCTTTAAAAAAAGCACAAAAATCCAATTACAATGGTCAACAAAGATTAAAAACAGATTAAAAATAATAATGATAATAATAATGGGTTTTTTATCTCTTGGATAAACAGGAACCAACTGGTGAGCACAGATAGCCAGAGTGACAACATGGTGAGCTACGGTGTGAGGAACAGCATCGCTTCCTATCTGTCCTTTTCTGGCCAGGAAAACCCTCAGCAGCAGCGAGCAGAACGCAGAAAGAAGAAATCTAAATCTGTGTATGCCATTCCTGAAAGCAATAATGCAGATTTCCAATATGAAGAAGACTTCTAATGACAGAACTGGATCAGTTTGAAGGAAGTAAAAAATGATTGAGAGGAAGCCTGCAGAGACTCCATGATATCTACTACAGCTCCTACGTAACAGTCGAAAAATCCATGGACCCAGCGCTGGTCAGAGTCATAAAAGTGAGTTTAAATATCAGCACTTTGGAATCTTTTAACAGTAAATTAAGTACTCACACTTTTAAGCAAATATAAAGATTGATGTTTTATGTGAACAGTGTGTGAATGGGTTTGATGTGTGGATATACAGCACATGGCTTCAGTAACAGAACCAAGCATTATTGGAATAGGAAGTATGTTGAATACATATAAGTACTAGTGGTTCAAACTAATTCTCTTTGTCTGGAGATGAGATTAATGTTCATTGACCAAAGCATGTCTAACTAAGACCACACACACGTCTCTCTCGCCCTATATTATTTCAGTTTATTAGATAGAGAGAGATATAGATCTATATTTGTTGTATTTCACTTTCATTGCATTCATTCATCTGTACCTTATGAAGTTGTCATAAGTCATATCCTTTTCTATCCGCCTTGGGTTACACGGTTAATGAAAAAATTTGTTTACTGTTTGGAGATGAAGAAAGCATGATGTGGTCCATGTGTTGCATCTCAAAGGTATTGAGTATGAAACATTTTGAAAGTATGTGGTAATAAAATGTAAATTAGAAATGGGCTATATGATGTGATAGCATCTCTTAAAACAGAAAAGTAAAAATTATACCTACTATTACAAAAATGATTTGTTTTTATATTTCTTACTGCAAATTCAAAACATTGAATTTATGGTGGGTTGCTTTCTTTCAGCTTTATCGCCCTGGCTGTTTGTGTTTTTGCAAAAAGAAAATGTTTTAAAACCTTTAAGTAAAGAAAAAAAAAATCCAGGTTTTCGTTCAGACAGTGCAGGTGTTTGAAGCAGCTCCAACAGGAGGGCTGACCCATTCTCTGATTAACTGGAATGCAATATCGACCTGATAATCTGAGCTGTTAAACGTGAAATAAGACTACGCCAATTAAATATTTTCAAATTTAGTACAATGAAATGGCTAAAAGAAATATGGCCAAAAATTAACAAACGATGCAGGATTTTAGTTTCTATTTTTTCAAGTCAGGTGAAGGTGATGAAAATTCACTGTTCTGCTTTATTTAACTACACAGTAAGCTTTATTGCTTTTACATATATTTCTCCACTAATTTGTGAAATGTCTGTCATATATTAGTATTTGTAATTAAATGTGCAGCTTATTACCTTTTCTACTTACAATTGAAACAACTACCTTTGTATAGTCAATTTTATATTTGTTTGCAATACTGTAAACATGGTTTGCAGTGTTTTTCTATAATATTTTTAGCCCTTCTTAATAATCTTTTAAAAATATATTTATTCTTTGTTTTCCTAAATGTTAGTGACTTGAAACAAGGTGGCAGTAAATAAAAATGTTGTTTGTCAATTCTGGGATTAAAATACTTGGGACTTTTTTTTTACCTTAGTAATTTGTGTGCGTTTTTTTCTACTGCTCTTGAAACTCCTGGAAAATGTATTAATATCAGCTTAATGTATGGGGAAGCTTTGACATTGTTTAGCTAGGAAGGTGGAATCTAAAGCAACCACCATGCATGACATCTATGCTGCCATACTGTGAAAAATAAAAAGTTCCTTGAAACTATAGTGAGTGATCTTTATTTTGCTGCAAAATTTCCATAAAAATATTTAAACTTTAAACCCTATTTGATCCTGTTATTAATAGATGAACTCCCGGCAAGTAAATATCAACCACACAAAAATGAAATTATTTGTTATGGAAAACAATTAAAAGCTTTTCCAGCTAGATCATACTTGGTTCTAAAGCAATTTCATCTTCTGCATTATTTACAGATATGGCCTCAAATTTGTAGAATCACCAAATGTAGGATACATTTAGATTTAAAAAGAAAAAAAAAAAGCTGCATTGTTCTTACTCTGTCTAGGTTATCTACATTTACGTATAGCTCTAGATCTATATACGGAAACACACGTCCAAAAATGCATGGTGAAATAAGGCTGAGTCACGTGTCAGCTGGTTAGTTGTAGAGGAAAAGGTCAAGATAATTATACGTGGAAGGCATTTTCAAACAGAAGTGTGACTTCTGACTGAGTTTCAAAGTCATACTAGTTACAAACTGAAAAAGATCGGAATTTTGCAAAACAACATTATCCCTAAATAAATTCTGTTTCCTGTCTCTAATTTTTTTTTTACCTGTGCACAATATCAACGCGATATTTATGCTACAAAAAAAAAATTGGTAACATCTTGACTACACAGCTAAATTACTGCATTATTTAGTTTGTAGTTTTTATATCACATTGAGGTGGTTGTTTATTTTGGAAAGATTTGACCCAGAAATATTTTCAAAACGCATGATGTAAAACTTTTGCATTTACTTCATTCATAATGTAAACAATACAGGAAAGAGGCGTGCATCATGCAGTTTAAATCATGTGGACTTCTAAGGGCATATGATTTGTCAACAGCCCATAAATCTTTATTTTCAGTTGCTGCTAATTACATTGTAGCAGCAACTGAAAGAACAAATATTCAAGAAAAAAAAATGCCTAAAAGGGAGGATTTCAACTTTAGGTGTCAATACCAGCCAAACCTCTCTCTCAGCAAAGGGATAAAGTGATATTTATAAAGGCTAGCCACAGAGTGGTTTTGTAAAACAGAGAAACGAAGCAGCTAAAAATCTAGCTTTTGCTCGCACTTTTGGTCTTCATTTTTGTTTTGATGGTTAAGCTGCACAGTAGTTTTTTTTTACCAGTCAAAATGTTTTTGTTTTTTCTTCCAATAACAATCTGTTTCACACAAACACACTGTATAAGCTTATCTACAATGCTTTTTTTTTTTACAGCAAAATATCTTTGGTCCCAGGTTCCTGATGTTACACTTAGACAGATTTCATTTAGTCCTTTTGTACAAACAAGTGTAAACAAAAAGAAATTTCATTAAGTACCGCTCTCTAGACTATTTCATTTTTTTGAAGTGCAGCCTTGATGAAGGTAAGCAGTTACCAGTCATTTGTGTCAGACACTAATGAAAAACCGTCCCTTCCGCGGTGATTATCATGGGAAAATATGTAAAGGGGCAAAGACTGAAATTTCATTCAATCTAACAAAAAAATAAAAAAATAAAAAAAATCCACATCAGCAGATATTTCAGACTCATAGTTTCAGGGCTTGCCGAAAACATAAGTGAACTAAGTGGCTGCTTGTGTCAGAAGAACAGTATAACATAAAAAGTAATGTGTCGAAAAAGTAAGTTTATGTTTTCAGATAGGACTATTTTTTTTATAAAGATACAAACATGCACATTTTTAAGAGCCTCTCATTCAAATTTTTATTTTATTTATTTTTTTCTTGCAGGTTTCTAAGAACATGCTTAATATTGTATTATCTAATTATGTGTGTTTTTGTATCATCTATTATTTTTCTTGCTATTTTATTTATTTTTTGATGGTCTTGAACCACAGGTTATTTTTTGGAGACTGCTGTTGCAGCTGAAACCAAAAAGTATAAACCACAAACACTTTACCTGTAAATAGATGGCATGCTAATTTATTTTATTTTTTTTTTTAGTAATGCTGGATGATGCATTCAAATAAGAGACCTTTAGCACTACTGCCAAAGCTGTAAAAAGTTTATAGTAGGTGTGTGACAAATCTGCTTTTGATTGCAAGACTCAATACAATTTGCAGAAGTACAGGGCCCAAAAGTATATTTGCCTAATGACCTTTGGGCCCCTGGGCTTCCTCTGGATAGGTGACACAGAAATGAAAAACAAGATAGAAACATTTCAGTTTCTTTCTACAGAAATTGTGGGTTCACAGCAACACCAAAGGTTCTTTGTTGGTCTTCTTCTTGACTTCAGCAGAGTCGAGAGGAAGAGCCAAGAGCCTTATCCTAGTCATTTTTGCTTTCCCCGAAGCCAAGTTTCCACTGACTAAAACGTCCTGGGGCAGAAAAATGTTTCTGACTGAGAAATTTTTTTTTGGTGGGTGATGAAAAGACCATCCTGTTCTCCAATTTACCTTCACAAATTTTCCTCTTTTTTCCTAGTGTAGCTAAATACAGTAGAGTATGAGCCATTACTCGCTACCACCCACTGTTACACAACCAAGCAACGTAATCCTGTTAGAAGTCTTTGTTGTCGAGGAAGCTCTTTTCAAAACAATTGTCAGTCATGCTCTGTATTGTTCTGTATGTTCTGTATCTTATGGCACCTGCCATGCATATAAAGGTGGATTTATTAAAAGGAAGCACTGATCCATAAAAGGGACTTATAAAATTACAGAAAAATGCTTGAAAAAGAATTCAAACGCAGGATCTAATCTATTCAAGCTAAAGTATTTTAGGATATTTAGCTCTCTAGCCCCACTATAAGATTGCATTTATGGTTTAATGAAGAGGTGAGGCAAATGCTGAACTAAAAGAATGGAAACAGTAAAAGGTTAAAGTTAATTGTACTTAGAAACTGTATTTAACCACTGGGAAATGTTCAGTGTTATAATGTTTGCAGTCTCAAATTTACTTCGCAGAATATAGTGTGTGCTCGAATTCAGAGGCTGCATCCTCTGAAATCTAACACACCCTATGTTCTGGTCCCTGAAAATAAGGAGTTTTAGCCATGGATTCAAACAGGTCAAGCCTTCTCCGTTTTTTTACCACCCGTATGCACTATTGCCTAGCAACCGTGGCAAATGACACACAAAGCAGGCAAAGAATGGATAATGAACTACCGAATTATGACTATTTTGGGTGCTAATAGCGTTTTCGCGGGGCTTCAGCAGCAGTGCCGTCATCGTGAATATCATATTTATAATTCCCCACAGCAGAGATATTAGAATCTGTGCTTAAATTTCAACCAAACCCATTTGCACACAGACAGGTAAACCCTTAATTTTAGACCGAACTATTCACATACTTGTATAATAATAAACTGCATTTACAATATTCACCACTGTTTGGCACCATTTACCTTTTTTTCTCTGAGCACAGAGCTTGGACTCGCAATCAATCACGGGATACCCAAGGCTACATAGATTACACCAGACCCATCATTCAAAACAGGCAAAAATACATTTGTAGACCGCATAACGAAGAGTCTTCCAATCCGAACAGGCTTCGGCATTGCACTAAGACGTAATCGGCCAATGAACATGGACTTCAGAGGGCACAGCCGCTGCATTCGAACTCAGCAATTGTCAGTTTAAAGCTGTCAACAAAGCGAACGTTTTAAAGGTTTATAAAAGTGTATGGAAAGTTTTGTTTCATAGGTAATTACTTTTCTGAAAAGAAAGATTGGTAAATTAAGAGTTAGAAATTGATGTTCTGTTACTAACCTTTGGGGTTCTATCCTACCTACCTACTGTTGTTTTATTCGAGTTTGTGATCTTTACTTGAATAACTCTGGGAAAGCCCATGGTTGGTTTAAATTTGGAGAGAAAAAACCCCCTTGATGATTAAAATTCTTTGAGCTCCTTTTAACTTTAAGCCTCCAGCCTACTGATTAAAGTTCCTGTCCCGGTCCTGTCACAGGCGGAGAAGACAGGAACACACAAGCTTACATTTCTCCCACACTGCCTGACACGGGCTAATTTAAAAAAGCTGCCGTTCACCCTCGCATATTTTCTTCAAAGTTGGCATCCGTGCCAATTTTATTAATGTTTTCATTAACTTTACAAGCCGAATGTTTGTGATCAGTCAAGCCAAGCTCAGCAGTTTGTACCCTGTAAAAGAAAAGGATATAAGAGTTTGGTAAGCTCGTTTCAGAGTCTTGTTAGATGTCTGCCACTGATTGGAGTAAAGTCAAAACTGGTGTGCTTTTGTGTGTTGAGTGGAACAATCAGTGATGCAGACTCACACATATGGTTCAATGCAACATGCAGAGACTGCTGTCCAGTCAGCATTACTCACCGCCTACAGCTGAAAGTTTTCCTTTGAGATAGGTTCTCAAATAAAATACTGAAGGTAACTTGAGGAAAACAGGTTTCATTCTGGTAATTTTCACAATTTACTCTTCGCATTTGTCAATCCCCTTCACAAAAGTTTAAAGTTACATGCAAATATTTCATAAAATCACATGAGATGTCCAAATAAGGTCAATTTTTTATATCAAACGTGTTAATTTTCAGACACCATAATATAGCATTTTGGTTCCGCTTTGGTCATTTTATTTCCTATTTCTTTGTTGTGTCAGGATTTGTTTGTGGATTGAGGACCCGAAAGCAGAGGCAGGCAGGCAGAGGTGACTTTTTAGTAGATTTAATAAGAACTGAAAAACAAAGTCCAAAACCACAGGCAACAGGAATCCAAAAACCAAAAAAAAGGAAAACACAAGTCAAAACTTTACCAAAAACATAGGAGTCATCAGGGGAAGAACTGTAACCAGGAGGAAGGCTCAGATAGACGAGTAGGAGGAAGACTGATGAGGTTAGACGAGGACCCAGCAAAGAAGAACAGAACAGAGAGAGTATTTGTAGGAGACTGAAACAAAGAGAGGGTTAAAGAGCAGATTAGGAGCAGGTGTGAGCAGAGCAGAAACAAGGAGCAAAAGAAAAAAGGAGAACTCAAGAGTGCAGCAGAAGGCAACAAATAAAAACCTGAGAACTGAAAGTAACCAGAA